TTTTTCGCGTTTATTTATTTTTTGGGACAGAGAGAGACAGAGGCGTGTGAGCAGGAGGGGCAGAGAGAGAGGGAGACACAGATGGGAAGCGAACCCAGGCTCATCAACCCAGAGCCTATTTGTGAGAATGAAGCCTCCTGCGGACAGCAGAGATGTGACCTGGCTGAAGTGGATAAGCTTAACAGCCCTGCATACCCAGCTCCCAATTCCAGTTAGGCACCCAGTTCAAATATGCATATCAGTTCATGTAGTAATATATGACATCGCTGTAAATGTTAATCATTGATACAGTAATCCAGTTATAAAAATGAATAACAATAACTATAAATAACGATATTTTATTAACAGGTAATCTTTAATGCACTGAAGTTTATGTATACTAATTTCCTATTTCCTGTGAAGAAGCTTGATTCTCAAAAGAATCCCTACCTGGTTTCAGCCAAGAAATTAAATCGATCTGATTCCTTGGAGTGTAGAATTTCCATGTGACTGCATTTTATATTTGGGTTCTCTTTTTTCTTTGTTAGTAGTGGACCTTACATGCAGAGATACTTTAAACTTTTGTGCGAAAATTTCTCACGAAAACCAAATTATTTTTTTTTTTAATTGAAATATAGTTGACATACAGTGTTAAATTAGTTTGGTTCTTTTAGCATAGGATTATGAAAAATTCTATATGTTATCTCAAACTGCTCACCACACAAACTGCCATCTGCTGCCACACCTTTAATAATCATTTATAAACATAGTTGATTATATTCCTCATCACTGTTCCTTTTATCTACGTGACTTATTCATTCCCTTAGCTTTGGAAACCTGTCTCCCACTTCCTTGCATTCGTTTTGCCATTACTCCTTCCCTTCCCTCCCCTCTGTATATGTTTTCTATATTTATGGGTCCTGTTTTGCCTTTTTTGTTTGGTCATTCATTTGTTTTTATTTTTGGAGTTCAACATAGACCCCAAGTGAGGCATTTGCTTTATGACCCATGACTTGCCACTTAATGCATAAATACCCTCTGGGTCCATCCATGTTGTCACTGAGGTCTCATCCTTTCTTCTTATAGGCCCCAGACATTATTCCTTTTGTAGCTCTACTACCACATTTTTATCAATCCATCTATTGATGGACACTTAGAACTTCCACTTCATAACTTTGCTATATTTATTGCAATAAACATAGGGTGCCTCTCCTTAGAAAAATAATTCTTGACGACGTATTGCTGAAAATAATTTTAAAGTTGAAAGTAGGTTTCTTGATCACACTGTCCAGCCTCTTCGTATTTGTGGTGAGTCACAGAGATTATCTGGAGATGTTCTATTCTGTGACTTTTAACCAGTGTCATGGGGTTTGCTCTTCCCACTGACCGGAAAAAGACACGAAACATATAGCGCACAGTTGAATAGTATCAGATAAATAGCAATACACTTGGCAATCAGATCCTCTTTACTACTGATCGTCGTTAGAAGAGAATCATCGATGAATTAACTCCATAAAAGAATCAGAGATTAGATCCAACAAAATTGTCATTTCATTCATCTTATTCAATGGTATTTCTGGAGCACTTAATATGTGCTAGGAAAAGCGTATGCAAGCTTGGGATGTGTGTATTGAAATACAATGTCTATCTTCACTGCTCAACATTGTATATATACGAATATTCATTCTAGCAGTAATTCAAATAGCAAAAAATATTGGAAACGTAGCACCCAATATGAGATTGTTAAAGATAGTCCACATATAAATTAGAATTTATGTAGTCTAAAAAAAAGTATGAACAGGCTTGTTCTGGTAGCTGGTGACAGGTTACTTGACTCAGCCAGCAACACCTGTATGAGCTACTAAAAATATGAACAAAATCATAAAAACATAAATATCTGAAAAGAAATGGTAAAAAGGCAACAGTCTTGAACCTGGTGGCTCAGTTAGTTAAATGTTAATTCTAGATTTTATTGAGTCTCAATTCCAGTTCATATTTGGAAGAGAGCCCCACAACAGGCTCCACTTAACAGCTGGCAGTATGATTCCTGCTTGGATTCTCTCTCTCTCCCTCCCAGATCTCTCTTTCTCTCTCTCCCTCAAAATAAATAAACTGTAAAAAAAAAAAAAAAGAGAGCAAATAAGTCAGTGAGAATTACACAAAATCTCTAATATACTGAAATGTTAAGCTCATGCACAAAACCCCATGTAGTGAACTGTAGAGTGATGGCCTTTGGGACACCATGGGAGGACCAGGGAGATATATGTCAAAACTGGTTCACCCAAAGGTAGAGAATCTGATAAACTAACCCCCCCCCCCATTTAAGGGAGGATCTGAATTAGCCATTATTGTCTTTTGCTTTTATGTCTGGAACATAGTGCCAGTGGTCTAAAATAAGCCTCCCACTTATCTGAAGGTGGTCCTGTTAGTGCCCTCAGGCATCTGGCAATATGATAAAAGGCCTCTCTTGACAGATAGCCA